AACTCAGATGATACTCTGTGGACAGTAGGGAGCATTTCATTCACATCGTTCCCTGAGCTCCAGCGCCAGCAGGGCCATGCTTGATTCTGAGGACCCAACTCAGGTGAGGATAGCAGGGCCCTTCCTGCCTTCATGGAGCCCAAGCTTTAGTGGAACTCAGCTCTTTCAAAGCTGGAGAGATTTGTGCAGCAGTTATTTAGTGGTAAAAGTGGATAAAGCATGATGATTTTCATAATCAGGAGGAAGGCACAGATGGTTTTTCATTCTGTTTGGGGGAGTTTATTGTTTTGCTGTAGGTTTTTTGTTTGTTTGTTTTGTTTTGTTTTTGAGGCAGGGTTTCTCCGTGTAACAACTCTGTCCTGAAACTCGCTTTATAGACTGTATTGGCCTCAGAGCTCACAGAGATCCGCCTGTCTCTGCCTCCCCAGTGCCGGAATTAAAAGCATGCTCCTCCTTGCCTGGCAGCTATTGGGTTTTTACCTTGGAGGGATGGTATGATACGAATTAACATGGAGAATAAAATAGAACAAATTAACCAAGCTATTGCACAGTTGCAATGCTAGCACTCAGGAGGTGGAGGCAGGAGAATTGCCCTAAGTTTGTGGCCACCCTGGACTACATAACAATCTCCAGGCCATCCAGTGAGACCCTGTCTTTAAACAAACAAGCAAAAGAATGACTATGACTAGGAGGCTTTGGCGGGAGAGTTTAGCCTTGGACATGTCGATTGAAGAAAGCATCTTTGCATGGAGGTGGTTTATCACATACTTGGTTATATAAACCAAAAGAGCTAAAAAGAAACCCATAGATCAGTGGTTCCCAAGAACATCTACCTCCAGAAACAGTAATACTATTATTCATAACAGTAACAAAATTGCAGTTATGAAGTAGCAAGGAACATAATTTTATACAGGAGAAACTGTATTAAAGGGTGGCAGTATTAGATACAAGGTTAGTTCATGTATGTGCCAATTCACACTACACTAGTGAAAGGAAATGTAAAAGATTAAAAAGAGGCCCGGTCCCATCAAAGCACCTCAAAATCTAAAGTGTAAGAGTCAGAGAATATTTTAAAAGTGCAGTTGTTGCAATAGGGCTGGGAAAATAGGAAACAACAATTCTAGCTAGTTCCCTTGGCATTTGTTTCAGCCAAATTTCAGTCATGGGTTGTCCTGAGCTCTTGGAAGAGCAGGGTGAGCAGAGTGAGCTTCTGCCCTTGTCCTGAGACAGTCTACAGTCAGGAGAGGTCATGGCTGCCTGCTACCAGATGACAGCAAGATCCTCTCTCAACAGAACGGATGTGCACGGAAACACTGGAAAGAGAACAAGCCAAATGAGTTTTTTTTTTTTTTTTTTTTTTTTTTTTTGCTTCATTCTTAAGAAGCGAAAACAAAACAAAGACTAAAAACAAATAATGGAAGTGTTTGAGCTGCTGAAGCAAGAAAAGACGGGGAAAACTGTGCTTACTTCAAACATTTTAAATTGCTGTCTTTTGAGACCCCTGGATTAGGGGAAAAAAAACAAAACAAACAAACAAACAAAAAACCCAAAAAACATGAATGGAGTTAAAACATTATAGATGTAACCCATAATATTTAAACATCAACCAAAAGGAATTTTCTTATAGAGTGCTGCTTGCAGTCTCCTCATTCCACCTAGGACAGTCCTGTTTAGAGTGTACCCCCATACTGTCCAGCAGTGTAGACTCAGTGGGCTCAGAGGTCTTCTCCTCGATGGCTTTGTGTTTGGTCTGTAACTACCTCCTAGCTTACTGAGTCTTATACTTCTAGAATCACATTTTACCTTGAGAATTTGGTGGATGGTTATAGACATTACCACCCAGGAAAAAATATGCAAGCAAGTATGTATTTACACATAAGAATTAGACAAGCAAGCTTGTACCTAAATACAAGAATTAGTAAAACAGAACTCCATCTCCAAAATATCCCATAGGTGGTAATAGGACTTCAGGTTAGGGCCTTTGTTTTAGTAGGTTTCTTACAGATGACAGCATAGCCACTACTTACTCTGAAATTATAGACACTGAAGCCAAGGAGCTTCTGAGAATTAATCTAGGGCCATGCCTAAGATTTGCTGTACATCCAACTCAATACACTGTTGATTCTAATCTGTCAACCTTACTTTTTAAGTGGCCCCAAGCAACTCACAACTTCACAGATTTCTGTACTTAATCATATGCACATATTTTAATTTTCAAATAATGATGCTGTTTTGTGAGGCTTCCTATAATGAGATATGTGTTATTGTAACTGAAACTCCCCAGTAGATGACTTTTGGTGCAGTTCTTTTTGATTAGGGCTGTCTTACATATTTATACTGAAGGAGTTCATGAGCTGTTTCTGATAGTTGCACTTTAATCTTGCTTAATGAACTGATGTAAGCACAGTTCTTGTTCTGTTTTGGTAACCCCGTGGATTTCTTCTGATGCTCAGTTTCATGTGACCACACCATTCTTGAAATGCTAATACACAATGCTAATTCAAGAAAGGACCACAAAAGTTAGATTTCATTTCAGGGAGTTGTATTCAGTATTCACAGGCCCTCTGCAAGAGTACAGCTGTGAGAAGAATGCTATTAGATGGAAAATAAGGGTGCCTACTTTTGGTGAACACACACACATTTAAACATATAGGTTGCACAAATTTTGGATAAACTGAGGTGGAATCCAACACTTCTTGCATGAATGCCTGTATAATGTGGTCATAGCTGTGAGAAAAGAGGAGCCCTGCGTCTAAGACCCAACACAATGAAAATGCAATGAATCGGAATGCCTCACAGATCATAGCGGAATCAGAATTTCCAGCAAGGAAAATCTTTTCATGGTGAATTAAGTGGTGGATGAAGAAAAATGGTGATGAAAAAGGTAGGCACAGATCACAAACACTGAGCTCAGGGCTCACCGCTGAAGATTTAAGAACCTTAGCTAAAGCTATGCAGAATAGAATGTGGAAAATTGAATTTACTAAACAATTAAGCATTGAATTAATCTACATCCTGCACAGTAGAAAAGTGGGGGAGGGAGCGGAGCAGAACTGAATAAATCAGTGGAGCTCATTAAAAGATAGTGAATATATCAGGTCTGTTCTGGCAGAAAGGAGGACAGCTTCCTGTCTGACACGGAACGATTCCCTGAGTCTACGTCACCTTTCTGGAGTCCTGCTCTTAATCAGATTAACAAACGTGTTCCTGATGAGGTTAGTCTGCTGCTCTGTATTTTAGCTTGTTATTGCTATCTTTTCTATTAATTACAAGTCAGATCACCAGTCAACAATAGTAGTGAGGGACAACATAAAGAAAATGAGAGTGCCCAGGAGACATCACTCACAGGATCTCATGCATCCTGAGACTCCCACATGTCTTGCTGGTCTTTTGTTCAATTACAGTTAATGCAATAGTTTGCCATTTTCTCCTTCTAATTATATTTTCAAGTGGGATTTGTAGCACACAGAAAAACATCCTTTTACATGTCGAGGCACTGGGGTTTTGTGCCTGGCATTGTCTGTCCCCTGGGTGCTGTACCATTCTCTCTGCAGAGCTCTGAATAAACAAGTCCCCCTTTTAGAGCTGCAGTTGTACAAACTGAAAATTTATGCATTAACTGTTTGCATTCTGAGCATGTGTTCCAGATTACATCTTAGAGTGTTCTTCTGCTATGCTTCAAAATAAGTGTCTGCAGAACACACTCCTTTCACAGTTCACATAGCTCTCAATCACAGAATCCACACATCAATTAGCACTGGCTTTGAGAATATGCATAGTGGGTGACTTACATACAAGTGATATGTTCCATGGCTTGATTCCATCTTGTGGGGGTGGTACGTCTTCAGGTCAAGGGTGGAGTGAAGTGTACATTAGAGGAGCATTGGGTCTCCCTTGGGGTTCCAGTGCAGCAGGTCTTGTAGACAGGGTCCTTGTTTTCTTGGCCCCGGATGTCTGAATTGTTTGGTCTTCTCAGCCTCTTTTATTGTCTTTGGGATGGATAAATGCTTTTCAAGAAATAAACAAAGAACAGTGATTCTGCCAGGCATATTCCACTTGTGAAAGGGTCAATAAACTTCACTACAACAGAGTCACGAACCATGACCGTCTATGACTTAAATGATGTATACATATTTTACGCATAAGCTCATCTTGACTCCCCACTAATAATCTTGAAGACAAACATCACTTCCCAGCCAACATCCAGCCTTCTATTCTGCATCACTCCTACTGCAAGGGATGACCAGTGACTCATGAGGCTGGTTTTGAAAGCAAGCACTAAACGCTCATTCAAGTCTTGTCTGGTGATAAAGAGAGATTTGGGAGAAGTATCACCACGGTTGTTTTCCCTAAGAATTGAATTTGCAGCCAATCTGAATGTTACTTTCAAATGCACCAGCGATAAGAAGCAACATCTGTTTTCTGTTCAATAGTACAAGAAGGCTCGGCATGGGGCTGAGTGTACACAGTCCATGTAAATCTATTGTTAGCATTTCTTTTTTGTCTCTGTGCCTGGTCTGTTTGCTGTGTACCACCAGGCAAATGGCTGACACACACTAGCTGTATGGACCTAGGTCTGATTGTGACATCTTGAAAGTCCCACCAGGTTTGTCTGCCAGAATGCAGCAGAGGCCTCTGGGAACACAGTGTTAGAGCTCATTCCTCCCATTTTGCATTTCTAGAGTAGCAGAGTGCTCTACCAGAGGGTTAAAAGTATAGTTAGACTCAAGTGGCAGCAAAGCCCCCTGTGTCTGAAATGTCTGTGTTTCCTTGTTAATAAAACATGCAATTACTTACAGACTGACTATTATAATGTGGAAGCTGAGACTGGCAGATTTTGAATATACCTATGAAGCCCTGAGCTAGGACCAGTTTTGTAGAAGAGTGGGAATGATGGCAATGTTGTCCCCTCTAGCCCTCCCCAATCTGTCATTGTCTGATGGGATCACGCCCTGTTAACAGATGGCTTTTACTCAGATTTCTGATTTGTGCCCCCACAGCCCTCTTGGAATAGAGATCATGATGACACGGCATCCACTCGTTCAGGAGGAACCCCGGGCCCTTCCAGCGGTGGCCACACTTCACACAGTGGGGATAACAGCAGTGAGCAAGGTAGGAGAGGGGTTCTCATTCTCCCTTGCTTCTTGCTTCATGTTCAAGGGTTGAAAAATGTCAGGAAGTCAGTTCCTATCCCAAGAGCTTCTCCCAGAACATAAATCCCATATAATATGAGAATCTGTTCATCTTGTTCAGTCTCTGGTCCGATTCTTCAGGGCCATCCCAGCTGCCTGTCACCTGGTCACCTTCACAAATCAGCTGAGGCAAGATTAGAGAAATAGATGAGAAATTAAAATGTGTACAAATAGCATGCTACAAATACCCTAGTGTGGTGTCCTCGGGGCTTTTCAAAGGATCATGAAGAAACCTCATTGAGAGTCCAAATAAACAATATTGAAAGATTCTTAGAAAGAGTTGACGACCTACCTCAGTGTAAAGGGCTTGCCTAGAATGCACTTGGCCCCCAGTTCTATCCCAGCACACCAAATGTAGTGCATATGTGTTGAGGTGTAATTCTTAGAAGGCAATTTGGCAACCTATGGTAGGTTTCCCTCTGCATTGAGTCTAAGGCTGTGGTTTTATTTCTTTTCTTTGAGGTTTAGCTTCAATGCAAAGCCAGATTAGACACAGGAGGAAATCCACTTACTTTGTGCTGTACTTCAGATATATACTTTTTGTCTACACGGGGATGCTCATGAACATACATGTTTTACAATAGCTAGTAAGAAACAAAGCTTAAACAGCATAGAAGTCTTCAGCAACAAGGAAACTCAATATCCAAATCTTTTGGAGGAAGGCCTTACTCCTGTAGATTTTGTGTGTAATTAAGGAAATTAAAGTTAAAGAATGAAAGTTGGCATCTGACTATGAAAAAAAGACTGCTTTACTGAAGTTGCCTCTGAGGCCACAGTAGGTACAGTTTTAGAATTTGATTTTGTGATCATTTTTTAATGGAGTGTCATTCAGCAAGAAAGTAATTTGGTTGTCTAACTTAATTGGGACCCATTAATTAGAACTAAAGAGTCTACAATGGATTTAGCATGATTGATTAGAAAACAGGAGCAGGAAAGCTCTTTTGGTTTAGGCATATGTGTGCTATTTTTCCCAGAAATAATTTCTGCAGATGTAATTTTAAGTATTGGAGACATTTTATTGTTCAACAAAAAAGTTGCTGACTTCATCAGAAGTAGAAGCCTAGTAAAAATGGAGCCTGGAATAGTAAGCCAGTCCAAAGCTGAGGTAGAAGCAGGTAACCTCTGACCTCTGACTTTTACTGGAAAATGATATGCAGCATAAATCCAAGAGGCCTTTTTTCTTTCAAGTGTGTGTGTATGTGTTATGGCATCACTGTTCAGGAGTGTGAGGGTGGTGTCAGCACTTTCCATCAGAGGCCTGCCTGGCTTGAAGAATTCTACTTACACTATGAGTTTTCCAAGAGGTGTAAATGCAATCTAATTTTTTTTTCCCTATAACCCAGAACTGCTACATGGGGTCACAGCCTAGTGTTTTGTTTGTTTCATTTTTGCTTTCATTCCTTGCTTTTAAAAAACATATTCAATCTAAGAATCAGTGGGTCATTTCGCTGAGGCGTTAAGGCTTGCAGACTGAGGAAATGTAGAACTTAGAGATGTAATACACAAGCTTCTAAACATGATCAGATAAGAGGGTTTTTGGAGAGCAAAGATCCTGTGCTAGGTCCTCCCCCTATAGCTGTGATAAGAAATCAGGAGTTCCTCTGTTTCTTTCATTTGATCCATGATCTCCAGAAGCTCGGTTGATGATGACCTGGTTATCTCTAGGAGCCACATACTCTTCATGTGACCAGCTTTCCACTCCTGCTGTTTCTTTTTATACTTCTTACACTTACAGGCTACCACCCATGGGTTTGAAAAAGCATTGTCACATAAATAATCTCATTTGAATGATCTTGTTGAATCATTTGTAAACAATGCTGGGTTTGGAGAAATGGCTCAAGTGGTTAAGAACATTGATATTCTTGCAGAGGACCTGGCTTCCATCCCTAGAACCCATGATAGACATCTCATGACCTCTGTATTTCTGGTTCCAGGAACCTGACACCCTCTTCAGGCCTCCTTGAGTACTGTACACATAAGGTGCACATACAGATGAGCACATACACAAATGAATATAAAACTAAATTTAAAAATTTCAAAAGCAAATAGAAGCAACCCTGGTGCCAGACATAGCAGAGGAAGTCAATACAAGCTAGGTAAGGTTTGGAATATGCTGATGTCCCTGGGCAATACAGACCCACCTGTTACAAGTTTCCAGCATGTCCATCTTCCTCACCTGCCCACCAAAGAACCTAGTCAATTCCTGTGTTCCTTCCACTCTAACTTGTATCCAACAGCAAGCAGAGGCACAGCTCTAGTCTTCTTTGCTTTCTTGGTGGATTTTCTTGGGCATACAATGTTATTCTTGACAAATGCAGAATGAGGCCTAAAAGTGTTGCTCAAACAACTTGTGAACATTTCTACACTAACCTTAACCCTTCTAAACCTGTTTCCTCATCCCTAAGGCCTGTGGAGTGGGGCCTTTGTACAGCCTCTGGATTAACTGTGTGCAGTAGCGTTGCATACTTTCCCTGTCTGTCTTTTCTGGCAGGCATGGGAATGGAAGCTGTGTCAGTATTTGGCTCATAGTACGTATCCTAAATAGTTATTTACACACTTTGAGTCCATTTTAGTCAACTGAATAAATAACAGCCCTCTTCAAAAGATTTATAAAGCCATAAATATGTCTTTATATATACCCAATAGACATAAATACTCACTCTGTCAAGACCATACCCAAAGAGGTGTTTTCTCCACAGACAGCAGCAAATTTCAAAACTTTCTCCACTACATTATTTGAATTGAATTTATTTTTAGTTTTCACCACTTCATTGGGTACCTGTGGAACAAAATAAGCAAGTAGATAGAAGGATGAATAGGCAGGGAGGCAGGCAGGGAGGCAGGCAGGCAGGCAGGCAGGCAGGGAGGCAGGCAGGCAGGCAGGCAGGCAGGCAGGGAGGGAGGGAGGCAGGCAGGCAGGGAGGGAGGGAGGGAGGGAGGCAGGCAGGCAGGCAGGCAGGCAGGCAGGCAGGCAGACAGTCAGACAAAAAGTCCCTGTGGCTTTAGCCCTCTATTAAACAGCCTGTCTTCTGCACAGTGTAAGGCACTAAGCAGAGATGCACATTTCAAATGAGTCCTGTGTTTTGGAAACTTCAAAGAGAGTAAATCATCCAGGAAAATCTTAACTTCCTGAGAGGTTCAGAAGGTGCTGGCCCTTCCTTAGCGCTCCGGCAATTTTGGTGGTTCTTGAATGCCTGATTTTTTTCACATTAATAACTATTATAATCAATAAAATAATTTCAGGACAAATTTTGCATGAGGATAAATGAACAAACAAATAAATAAATCCAAGTGTAGGCATTCAAAAGAGAATATAGATAAGGTATGTAACTGTGAAGATACCAACTATATTATGGTTCAGGGACTTAGTGTTAATTCATGATTTGCATAGTATGTCAGAGTTGAGTTTTTTTTTTTTTTTTTTTTTTTTGCTGTGTCGAGATATCTTGAATCAACTTAAAGAAGGATTTGTTTTTATTTTTATTTTGTCTCACTCTTGCAATGGTTGACATCTTGAAAAAGTCAGGCTCGCTTGACCCCCATTGCTTCTGAGCCTGTGTGTGATGAAGGTGAACATGGTGTACAGCTCGTGAGGGAGCAGTGTGGCACTTTGTGGTGGACAGGAGGCAGGAGGACAACAAAGGACACAATAACTGAAACCTTCAGGGTCGCAGCCCTATGACCTACTTCCTCCAAGCAAGCCCCACCTCCAAATCATCCATCTGACTATGAATTTGTCAATGGGTTAATTCATCGATGAGGTTTCAAGCCCTCATGTCTATTCACCTTTTGAACAGCTATCACCTAGTGACCAAGCCTTTAACACTTGAACCTTTTGAGGGGACATTTCATATTTAAATCATAGCAATATCTCTTCCTCAACTGAAATTACTTATCTTGACAACTCTTCCTGTGTCAACCACCTTCATTTCACATTAACACCTGTGACCCCTTCCGGAAATTAATTCTTTAACAGCAAAGCCCCTTAAAACTGGCACTGAGAAGGGAGGGCTTCACACCCGTGGTTTGGTAGAGGATACTGTTGCAGTCACTATGACATTGAAATTGTCTGCTCTCTAACTCCCTTCAAAGAATTTCCAAAGACGTTAGATTTTTTTTTTTTTTTTAATCCCCTTGGGTCTTTGCTAGCTTCCCATTTTGCAGGAGAAAAAGGGAAGTAGAGGAGAAATTCTAGAAGGCTCCTGTCAAATTCAACCCTGAGATCTTAGACTCTGGGCTGCGCAGTTCATTAGAACAGCACTTGTGTGCAGAGAGAGTGGCATTGGGTGGCACATACTGGCAGGTGTGCATTTTCGTACATCTCTTTTATCCTTCTGTGTATGGCTGTCCTGCTGAACAGCTCTATTGTAGGAAGTAGTTTGGAGCAGAATGTTTAGCCAGGCTGGTGCCTCTCCCAAACTCCTTCCTGCAACCATTCTGCCTCACAAGCAGCTTTAGCAATGATTGGCAGAATTATGCATTTGGGCCTTCTTTTCTTTGCTCCAAAGGAAAGAGAGCTAACTAGTTGATAATAAAAATAATAGCACAGGATGCAAGGATTGTAGGTATTTCCATTCCCTCATCATGTGGACCAGGTCATGGGGGAACAGAGAAGCTAAGAGATTGGCTGAAGGCCATATGTTGGTTAGTGGTTAAATTGAGGCTCCACACTGTTGGTCTGACCTTAGAATTCAAGTTCCTGACTACCACATATTATGGCACATGGTATTCTCACTTGCTTTATGAACAACAAAAAGGGGTTAATTGCCAGACTTCTTTCTGTTGCCAATACAGTCACTCTTCTCCTATGCCCTTGTGCAGTGCTGGGCTCTGCCATGGTGACAGCCACGCAATGGGTGGAATCAGTGACATGCAGGGTATTGCTTTGCTGGAGAGTGAGGACCTAGCTTTGTATTCTAA